ACACCCTGTCCTGTCTCCCCATTCTGTTTAGTCCTGTGTCCATGTTAATTGCTCCCACCTGCCTCTCATCTCCCAATCACCCAAGGTCCCAGCTCCTCCTGTATTTACACCCTGTTAGTCCATGTTGTCTGGTTGGCTCATTGTTTCATTGTCCAGCGTGTGTTCAAGATTAAAGACTCTAAACTCATTCTGGTTTGTCTGTCTGCCTGCTTCCCTCACCCGCATGTGGATCCTTGTATCTGCCTCACTCACTGGCATGTTGTGACACAGACTCTGGTAGCCGTGCAAGTCTCTCCTGTATGTAGTTTGGAACGTTCTGCCACTACTCTGAGGCCTTTTTCTAGTGCCTCTTCTTCATGTGGTCTTTCTAGACAACGCATACCTGCTGTGTGTGTTGCTGCCTCCTGCAGCCTGATTTGGGTGTTGCACAGTTGTAACTACAGTTAAATCCACGTAAAACTAAAACATTCATTTAAGTCATTTTGAACTGTGAAGTTTAATATACAGGTGCTGGCCAGTAAATTAGAATATCATCAAAAGGTTGAAAATATTTCAGTAATTCCATTCAAAACGTGAAACTTGTACATTATATTCATGCAATGCACACAGACCAATGTATTTCCGATGTTTATTACGTTTAATTTTGATATTTATAGGTGACAACCAATGAAAACATCAAATCTGGTATCTCAGAAAATTAGAATATTCTAAAGGCCAATGAAAAAATGTTTGTTTCTCTAATGTTGGCCAACTGAAAAGAATGAACATGAAAAGAATGTGCATGTATAGCACTCAATACTTAGTCGGGGCTCCTTTTGCCTCAATAACTGCAGTAATGCGGCGTGGCATGGACTCGATCTGTCTGTGGCACTGCTCAGGTGTTATGAGAGCCCAGGTTGCTCTGATAGTCGTCTTCAGCTCCTCTGCATTGTTGGGTCTAGCGTATTGCATCCTCCGCTTCACAATACCCCATAGATTTTCTATGGGGTTAAGGTCAGGCGAGTTTGCTGGCCAATCAAGGACAGGGATACCATGGTCCTTGAACCAGGTGCTGGTGGTTTTGGCACTGTGTGCAGGTGCCAAGTCCTGTTGAAAGGTGAAGTCTGCATCCCCATAAAGTTGGTCAGCAGCAGGAAGCATGAAGTGCTCTAAAACTTCCTGGTAGATGGCTGCATTGACCCTGGACCTCAGGAAACAGAGTGGGCCAACACCGGCAGATGACATGGCACCCCACACCATCACTGACGGTGGAAACTTTACACTGGACCTCATGCAACGTGGATTCTGTGCTTCTCCGCTCTTCCTCCAGACTCTGGGTCCTTGATTTCCAAAGGAAATGCAGAACTTGCTTTCATCAGAAAACATAACTTTGGACCACTCAGCATCAGTCCAGTCCTTTTTGTCCTTGGCCCAGGCGAGACGCTTCTTGCGCTGTTTCATGTTCAAGAGTGGCTTGACACACGGAATGCGACACCTGAATCCCATGTCTTTCATGAGTCTCCTCGTGGTGGTTCTTGAAGCGCTGACTCCAGCTGCAGTCCACTCTTTGTGGATCTCCCCCACATTTTTGAATGGGTTTGTCGTCACAATTCTCTGCAGGGTGCGGTTATCCCTAGAGCTTGTACACTTTTTTCTACCACATTTTTTCCGTCCCTTCGCCTGTCTGTTAATGTGCTTGGACACAGAGCTCTGCGAACAGCCAGCTTCTTTAGCAATCACCTTTTGTGCCTTGCCCTCCTTGTGCAAGGTGTCAATGATTGTCTTTTGGACAGCTGTTAAGTCAGAAGTCTTCCCCATGATTGTGGTGCCTTCAAAACAAGACTGAGGGACCTTTTAAAGGCCTTTGCAGGTGTTTTGAGTAAATCAGCTGATTAGAGTGGCAGCAGGTGTCTTCTATATTCAGCCTTTTCAGAATATTCTAATTTTTTGAGATACCAAATTTGGAGTTTTCATTAGTTGTCACTTATGAATATCAAATTTAAATGTAATGAACATTGGAAATACATTGGTCTGTGTGCATTGCATGAATATAATGTACAAGTTTCACGTTTTGAATGGAATTACTGAAATATTTTCAACCTTTTGATGATATTCTAATTTACTGGCCAGCACCTGTAAAATATAGATAACTGCTTAAAATTTAGTGGAGTAAAAGTCAAAACTAGGTTTCAATAAAATTACTTATAGCTCAGATACAGAAAAAATATGTACTTAAGTACAGTTATTAAGTACTTAAGAGGCTGGAGTTTTTTCAGTACTTTCACAAAGATGAACCTTGTCCTGGTTGGGCTCAGACTGGCTACTGGCTACAGAAAAACACTTCTAACACTTCTAACTTGAAGAAAATTTGCCCATAAACACGGAGGTTAGTGACATGTAGTCAGGTTTTATTACTTTTACACAAAAACACACTTCAAAATGTCTGAAAAATCTTTAGAAATTTCCCTCCAAGATTGTTTTCTGTTTATTTTATTTATTGAACCAAATGTTTTCTGAAGGATGGCTTCAGTTAGACTTCCTCTTAGAAATTAATCATATTTATTTGATTAATGGACACAATATTTGTAGTGTTATCTCTAAGCTGTAACAAAACCAATCTGATTGTAAAGGGTTAGGGTTAGGGTTAGACCAAACTTCTGAGTGCAGTGATCAGGCCCGCATTAATGCACAGGCTTGATATGGCTTAAGCCTAGGGGCCCACGTGTGTTCTGGGGCCCCCATTGGCCAGTTAAAAATATACGATTTTATTTAAATTTACATGCAAGAATATTCTTCAACTGTATTGGCCGACAAAATCGTAAGCGACACTGATTGGTTAAACATTGTGGCGGTCTTGACTTAAGCAACGTGTCACGTGACACGTCGTATTCATGTATCATAGGCTGCTGCACTGAACGAGGGAAAATGCAAAAAAAATGTCAGAAAGAAAATATGAGAGCGGCGCTCAGAAAAGAAAAACGGAGAGAATCAAAGAACAAAAGCACAAAAATCTTCTGCAGAAAATCCCAAAGTTGTCAGGATATTTTAAACCTGCTGCTGGACCCAACAGCAAGTTATAGAAAAGCAAGATGTTCACGATGAAGGCAACGGAGCTATGCTAGCTGGAGCGGCAGAGGTTCATGATGCTAGCTCAAAGGAGGGAACGAGCAGTCACAGAGAACCTGATGTTGTCCACTTGGGGGCAGAGGCAGACCTGCTTCAAGTAGTTTCTGATGGGAGCCCGGCAGAAGGTCCTGCCAGGTGAAGCTGATGGTGGATGCTAACTTAAACCCGGATCCTGGCTGCTGGGGTGGAACGGGTGAAAATACCAGAAAATATTGGTAAAAAATAAATATCTGCAGATAAGAATATTTTGCTTCGATCAAGCATTTTTGGTTCCGAACAAGTGTAGCCTATGGGCCCCTGTACACCGCAATCCTCCCCTGGCAGTGATCCATGTGGTTGACTAGCTGTTAGCTCATCAGTCCCATCAGACATAAATGTCATTTCTCCAAAGGCGGTTCAGGGAATGAGCTACAGCTGGTCAGGTATTTATTATCTATCGCTGTTAAACAGAATCACACTTAGAATATGAAATTAAATCTCTGATCTGAAAGGATTATTCTAGAGATCAAACAGCGTTTAAACCGTTAAAATATTCATTTGAACACATCTCATTTATATCACTTTCTAATTATTACACAATAGTAAACAGTGAATTGACGTGTCACGCATTGCTCCCCATAGGCTGGTGGTGATCAGGTCATTTCAGCTCACCAGTTTGAAAGTTGAACCTCTCAGAGCTGACAGCACGATGATGACTCCCTGTTTTGTGAAACTTTCATTTTAACGTGTGTTTCTGAGTTGGGACTGGAGGACACACACTTGGTCACCTCTGTCTGAAAAGCTGAGTTGAAACATCTCTGTTAAAAGCCTCCTAACAGAAGATTTATACATCAAAGTAAACACTCTGATCCCCCAGCTTTGTGTTTATTCATCCCCTCCAGATCTCAGCCATCTCAGACTCAGGCTGCAGAATGACGACGAACCTGTTGAAGTGAGTCTGAGGGTGCGCATGTCTCCTGAAGAGGAATAAAACTTCTAATTCCTGCCGGTGATCACGTCGAGGCGGCCGTGACTTTGTGTGCTCCACATTCCCTCACTTGTGTCACTCTCGTCATCTCCCTCCTTGCATCCTGTGCTGCACAAAAAAAGCACTCAACACATCCTCTGAGCAAGTTAAAAAGCAGCGCTGTTGAAGAATTCTGATTTAGGCAGATTACACGGCTGCGAGCCGGCACACAAAAGGATTATGAATGGGAGGTAAATGAAGCTCTTGGGAATACATTTGGAAAGCTATTTGGGTTTTCTTATTAAGTGGGTCTCTTGGAGCTTGGGCTCATGTTTGACACGTCTCCATGTTCACATTCAGGCCTTTGTTCACATCCACAGTCTCTCTCTCCCCACATCTGATGGAAGGAAAATGAAATTAGTGCACTGATTCAATCATGCGAGATGTTTTTTGTTGTTGTTGTTGCACATCACCCCGAGCCGTATGGGATCTTCATCTGGGGAGGAGGCTGTGTGAAAGTTTCATTTGAAGTTCTCCCACAGTGATGCATCTTTCTCCTCTAGCTTCAGATTGGATTATAGATCTCAGTCTGAATAAAAGCTTGATTGTGAAATCATTTTAACAGCTTCCTGCATGGAGGAGGTCCCTAAACACCACATCTGACCCCTAGTGTGTGTGTGTGTGTGTGTGTGTGTGTGTGTGTGTGTGTGTGTGTGTGTGTGTGTGTGCCCATGCAGCCCAAAACAATAGATTATTTTTTCCATTAAGCAGACCAGTCAGAATCCCTGACTTTACCAGCTTGACATCCTCCAGAGAGCGTAATCCCGCCGGGTCTCGTGTATTTATAGATGAATACATTGTCGAACTTCTTTAGAGGAACATAAATTTAAATCAAACCAAGCGCAGACACGCGCAGCTGATGACAGCATCAGCTGTGACGCTGACACGCAGAAAGCCACACTCCTGGGTTAAACAGCGCGACTCTGACGCCACTTTTCTGCAGCACGTCTGGCGCGCGCAGGTATAAAACATACAGGCGCGCACCAAGCGCCCACAAGAGCGCACGAAAGCCACTGGGACAAATCTCGCTCCAATCTTCTGGACAATGTAAGTATTGAGATATATGACTTCAGAAATTTGAAATGACTCCAGAATTTCAGAAGAAAAAAAATCTTTGTAGAAGGATTTTTTTTTTTTTTTTGAAAACACGATGTTTTAGTTAAATAGATGCAACACGAGGTATTCTCCGAGAGATGATGTTTGCGTTGCTTCTTTAGATGCATCCTAACTTGGTGAGCTGGCTGGGGACGCTGGGCTTCCTGCTGTGGGCGCTGGTCTGCCTGGGAGCCTTGACGGAGGGGTACCCGGTGAAACCGGAGAACCCCGGGGAGGACGCTCCGGCCGAGGAACTGGCCAAGTACTACTCAGCCCTGAGACACTACATCAACCTGATAACGAGACAGAGGTGGGACAATCAACACTCACCGGTGGAAATAGAATAGAATAATAGTTTACTGTGACTTTTACTTTTAACTGACTTTACCTTATGAGATAGATAGATAGATAGATAGATAGATAGATAGATAGATAGATAGATAGATAGATAGATAGATAGATAGATAGATAGATAGATAGATAGATAGATAGATAGATAGATAGATAGATAGATAGATAGATAGATAGATAGATAGATAGATAGATAGATAGATAGATAGATAGATAGATAGATAGATAGATAGATACATACATGATAGGTAGATAGGTAGATAGATAGATAGATAGATAGATAGATAGATAGATAGATAGATAGATAGATAGATAGATAGATAGATAGATAGATAGATAGATAGATAGATAGATAGATAGATAGATAGATAGATAGATAGATAGATAGATAGATAGATGATAGATAGATAGATAGATAGATAGATAGATAGATAGATAGATAGATAGATAGATAGATAGATAGATAGATAGATAGATAGATAGATAGATAGATAGATAGATAGATAGATAGATAGATAGATAGAGATAGATAGATAGATAGATAGATAGATAGATAGATAGATAGATAGATAGATAGATAGATAGATAGATAGATAGATTATAGATGATAGATAGATAGATAGATAGATAGATAGATAGATAGATAGATAGATAGATAGATAGATAGATAGATAGATAGATAGATAGATGATAGATAGATAGATAGATAGATAGATAGATAGATAGATAGATAGATAGATAGATAGATAGATAGATAGATAGATAGATAGATAGATAGATAGATAGAGATAGATAGATAGATAGATAGATAGATAGATAGATAGATAGATAGATAGATAGATAGATGATCTGCATCGTATATTTTCAACACTGTTTTACACATTATGAGCCTCATTGTATCAAATACATTAAATGAATGCTAAATCTACTTTTATGTTGTTTATGTTTATGTATTATGTTTATGTTGTTTGTTTCTTGGTGTGGAAATTAAAGGGTTTAAAACAAAAGTCCCTGAAGATAAATTCCTGTCCTTGTGAGTCCCCATGCCCAAATTTTTCATGCTCTCCTCTGAATGTCAGGAATTTGAAAGCCTCTGTGTGTGACGAGGCTCCACAGGAACACCAGCGCTCCGATGTGACTTATCATCAAAAGCACAGAAGAAAGGGGAATTATTACCTCCTGCAAAGCAACTCGTGTCTCTGACTCCTGAATCACAGGATGACTGTGTTCAGTTTACACTGAGTTCCTAATTAAACAGGAAACATGCAGAGGAATTAATTCATAATCAGCTCTTTATTAGTTTGTTCTATAAAACCTTGGAGCATTTTTTTGGAGTTACTCACGTCTGTGGTGTCTGTTTGCACACCTCAGGTATGGGAAAAGGTCCAGTCCAGAGAGTCTGGTCACACTGATCTCAGAGCTGCTGCTGAAGGAGAGCAGAGACATACTTCCACAGTCGAGGTAAGTTGTTATCAACCTCCTAAAGCCTCACAGACACCTTATCTCCTCTCCGCTCTTCTCTCTCCAGATACGACCCATCATCGTGGTGATGCTGTCGTCAGCCTGCTGCACTCTATCACGTCTGTCCGTTCACCACATCCAAGCAGCCTGGTCCTCCTCTTGTCCCCATGCAGCTTCAAAGTTCTGTAGTACACCGTGTGCCATACAACTGTAAATAGTTTATGCCGTCATTGTCTGTGAAATAGAAAACGGAGATGGGGCATGTTGATTGTACTGTATATTTGTGCTAATAAAGATTCACTGTTTGAAAAAAAGTCTTTTATGCATCAATTTAGAGCCATGTGTAACTTTATATTTCTAATCATTTTCTTGAGCCAGTATGTGCTAAAATGACCCTTTATAGGGTTAATGGCCAGAATACCGCACTTGCAACTTCAGAGTTGGCAGCCGCTACCTGCTGGTGGAGGGAGCTGTGGAGTGGATTAGAGCCAACATGGTGGAGCTGAAGTCTGCTTCCGGCCCGTTTCCTGCATGTTTTAGATCGTGAACACAGCTGACTTGTTTTATTTAGTGATGAATCACTCCTGTAGACACTAATGAAGGCTGGGAGACATTTTAGCTGTCAGATTGAGGTGTTAAAAAGCCAAACGCACAACAAGGAGATAAGTTTCATTTCTGGTATATATATTTGAATTAATAACAGACACTAGGGGGTGCTAAAATCAAGCAGGACAGTCTAGTATCCCTTTAATGAGCAGAAACGTGACTCGTTGAGTCAGTGCAGATTTTAAAAGAGAAAAAAAGTCAAAATGAGGAGTGAAATTATGACAAAATTTGTTCATAATGTCTTTCTAGCCATGTAAAAAAGTATTCCATCCTTGGAAGTAAAGAATCAAGATGCACCACCTTTATTTAAGCTAATATTTCCAGATCAGTTTAAACTGGCTGTAGTTCGACATTACTCAGATTAGCTTTGGATCAACTTCTTAAAAAAAAAAGATACAAAAACCCAGTGACATGGTTTTGGGGACGAGTTTAACACACGACATGCAGAATCACCACTCGCACACCAAACAGATACAATAAAGTTTCTTTATTAAAATAATCAGGAACAGAGGACGCCCATGTGGATTGTAACAGAACCGCAGCGTCTGAGGAGGGGATAGCAGAGGAGCAGGTGAGTGCAGGGAGGTAAGTCAAAACTAGTTAGGTGCAGAGTTAAGACTTACGGGGAGCTGGGAGCTGAGGAGTAGGGAGGGTAGGTGGAGTGCTGGGATGAATCCAGGAAGGGGGGTGTCCAGGAGAGGGAGCGTGAGGAGAGCGGGTCGGCAGGGAGGAGAGGAGAACGGCGAATGCTGCATCCAGAAGACTTCTGAAGCACAGGTGAGTTATCCAGCGGGACTGTTTGATTAGCTTATTAAAATAGAGTTCTTCTGATTTACTAAAAATCAAGAGTTCTTTGTCTTCATTCTTCTCTTGAGCTGGAAGGGAAACAGTTTTAGAAGCAAATGCATGACCTTGAGCAATATCTCATGCAGATTAGTTCTGTGTCAGAGACATTTGAGGAGAGAGGGTAAATAACCTTTGGTGGAATAGCTCCTGCATCATGTTACACATCTAAATAAACTGTTATAAACTTTTTTAGAAAATCTCCTAAGACAGAGTTCACAAGGGGCTGGAACACGGCTGGTGCATTAGTTAAACCAAAAGGCATCACCAAGTACTCGAAATGTCCAGTGGGAGTCTACAACGCGGTCTTCCATTCGTCTCCCTGAAGAATCCGCACCAAATGGTAAGCGTTCCGAAGATCCAGGCGGCTGAAGATGCTGGCATCCTGAATGGGCTCAACGATAGATGTTAGTAGCGGGTATTTGTTCTTTACAGTGATCTGATTCAGACCCCTGTAATCAATGCAGGTTCTGAGTGTTCCTTCCTTCTTCGGAACGAAGAAACCCGCTCCCAGAGGTGATGAGGAGGGTCTGATGAGGCCGGCGGCCAGAGACTCCTGTATGCAGCTCTCCACGCTCTTCTCGTGCTGAAGACCAGGCTGAGGTCATGGTAGATCGGTGGTACAGAGGACAGGTCTATCCTTTCTGCTGGAGCGGCGGGGCTGCGGAGAATGGGTGAGGCTGAGCAGAGGCAGGTCTGTGAGCATCTGGAGTTCCATTTCTCAACTCTGTTAGTCTCCCAGTTCACATGGGGGTTATGGAGGGAGAGCCAGGAGTGTCCCAGGACCAGAGGTGACTGAGGAGAGGGAAACACATAAAGCCACAGCCTCCGTGTGGTTACCTGACACTCGTAACTGCAACGGGATGGTCTGGTGAGGAATGGTTGACAGGTTCCGGTCGTCCAAGGAAGACACAGAGAGCGGAGTAGGGAGCCGAAAGGTTGGGATCTTCCATCTCTTTACTAAGTCCGGGTCCAACAAGGACTGCTCACAACCAGAGTCAACAAGCGCTTCTATAGGAAACTGCTCGGAATTAAACACAACACATTGAAGTGCACAGCGGGAGCTCGCAGAAGAAGGGTTACTGCCCACCAGTAGTCCAGTCTTTACTGGTGGGCTCTGCCTTTTAACAGAGCCGGACAGGCTCTAGCAAAGTGTCCTGACTCCCCACAGTACATACACAGACCTGACCTGATCCGATGTGACCTCTCCTCCCGGGTGAGGCGGGTTTACCCATCTGTATGGGTTCCTCCGTGGTGGTGGGCTCTGCGGAGGGCCGAGTACCCGGCACATGATGGCGGTCCGGTGTGGGGATGGTTCTGGTACTGGAGTTCTGGTACCGCATCTCATGTTGGCGTTTGTCAATGGCAATGGCCAGGCGGATGAGTTCCTCCAGCGACCGGGGTTCTGGGCACAACGCCAGCTGGTTTTGGACTCGGTCGTTGAGTGACTCAGTGAAGGCAGCGAGGAGGGCTTCCTCATTCCAGGATGACCGAGCCGCCAAGGTTCTGAACTCCGACAAGTCAGCAACGGATCTCTACCCCTGCGATAAACTCCACAGTCTCTTACTGATGCCCTTAACAGACTCAGCACTGCCAAAAGTTAATTTGAAATCAGTCAAAAAGTCCTCCAGGGGTCCCGACAGGAAAGTAGGACAGTGGCTCTTCGCCTCAGCCCATCTTAGGGCTCTCCCACGAAGTAATCCAACTACGTAAGAGATCTTGACAGAGACCGAGGGGAAAACACCTGGTGAGCACTCGAAAACGGGCCGACACTGCAGCAGAAAACTATAACATTCCTCAAACTAACCACTGAACGTAGGCGCTGGTGGTGAGGAGGCTGGACGGAAGTAGAAGACTTCCGGGGGAGCTGCAGCTGCAGGTCCTGGAACTGCAGGAGAAACAGTGGCTGTGGGCGGAGGTTCTGCAGCGGGGCCCTGAGGCTGCGGTTGGGACAGACTGAGTTGTGCCTGTCGTACCGTGGCCTTCAACTGCTGGAAACGGTTGTTAGCGGCTTGAAGCTGTTCCATAAGCAGTGGCAGGGCTTGCTCCTGCTGAGACAACCTGTTGAGCAGATCGGCAAGAGGTGAATCTGCGAGGTAAGGGGCTTGGCCGGATGATTCTGACATGGTTTTGTGGACGAGTTTAACCCAAGACATGCAGAATCACCACTTGCACACCAAACAGACAAAAATAAAGTATCTTTATTAAAATAATCTGGAACTGAGGACGCACTGGATAAGGCCCAGTGGATTGCAACGGAACCGCAGCGTGGGGAGCTGGGAGATGAGGAGTAGGGGAGGGTAGGTGGAGTGCCGGGGTGAATCCAGGAAGGGGGGTGTCCAGGAAGGGGGGGTGTCCAGGAGAGGGAACGCAAGGAGAGCAGAAGAGCGGGTTGGCAGGGAGGAGAGGAGAATGGTGAATGCTGCGTCCAGAAGATTCATGAAGCACAGGTGAGTAATCCAGAGGAGGTGAGTAATCCAGCGGGACAGTGGAAAGGTAACAGGGGAGCCACAGGAGAACCAGAGGAGCTTCAGAAGTCCAAGGAGTATCCTGAGGAGTCAAGGTAAGGTCCACAACGATAAAAAAAAAACCTAGGAACAGGTAAGCAGGGTTAATCCACAGAAACTCAAACATTCCAAAAATCACTAGAGTTTAACCAAGAGTCACTAAGGGCTGGAACTACCAAGTTGTAGTTAATCATCCGGCACCGAGTTGTGTTCTCCTCCTCCTCCACTTATAGCTGGACCTGCTGATTGTCAATGAGCTGCAGCTGGAGCCTCCCTCTCCTGAAACACAGCAGCTCAAAGATGGAAACACTGAGAGAAGTACTCACCCCGGCACATGACACCCAGAAGGAGAAAAAGAAAAGAGCAAAAAAGAGATTTAAAAGTTTTCATGAATCTAATATGTTGGTGATGCAAAACGTTTGCAACAGTTGCAAAAGCACATTGTCTGGTTTCAGAGATAAATTAATTCTTTTTTGCAGCCAAAGCCGTGCTACAGAGCTCCGTATCTAACACGATGTCTTCATTTCTCGCTGGTTTTCAGACACCCCTCCTGACTCCATGATCTCATGTTTGGACACGCCGCGGCACACCTTTCCTTCCAGCTGAAAGTCGTCATAAAAACAATCTGTATGTGACTATGAGACCAAGGAAGAAGGTAAATCCTCCAAAATCACAGCTAATAAAGGCTTATAGCAAACAGGAATGGTGCAGTGAATGAAAGGACCTCCTTCTCACTGGTGAATTTGCCTAATCAGGCGCAACGGCACTCTCTTGTGGCCTAAAAGGTACATTTCTGCTCTGGAAGGAAGAGAAGAGATTCCTGGGTAAGTTTTAAAGTTGTGCTATAGTTTAGTACAAAGAGACTCAAATGTTCTGCAGACAAACACTCAGCTGGTTTCAGACTTCTGGTGACAAAACCTGACAGAAAAAATTAAACCGGAAGTTTAACTCTATTGGACTGGAGACAAACTCTCTCTGATGGTTTGTACAGTTTATTGTATAATAATGTATTATAATAATATTGGTGTCTTCATGATCAGATTGTTTAGAATAATTTGATCAGTTAGATTATTTTATTTTAAGAAATTGGTCAATTTGATCTGATGGATGACGTTGAAGAAAGTTTCATCTTCTGCAGCACTACTAGCTGCTCTGAAGAAACTGTGACTTTAACTTGTTTTATGCATGTCAGGTCATGTGTAATGGCATGTGACTGCATGAACAGGTTGAAAATGTTACAAAGTGCATTTTCCACTTGTTAACTTAATATAAGTTGGATTTTCTATAAATCTTCGTCTGTTATGCTTCAAAAAATTGAGTCTGGGTCAGAATTCCTCAACAAAAAGCAAGTTTATTAAAGGTGAAGTTTATTGAAAAAACAGTTTTTAATGATTATTTCTGATTATAATCAGTCACTCTTAGGGTGACCAGATCCCATTTTGCCAAATGTGGGATGGAGACAACTCAACGTGGGACAACGTGAAGTTCCAATGTAATGAGAGAAAAACAAACAAACATATTCTGCCTTTTAGCCCACTGTTACATATACATTAAGTTATTATTCTTATTATCATCACATATTTCTTGTATATATTTTATTTGAATTCACCATGAAGGAGCATACAGCAAAAGCTTTACTAGTTCACAGTTCCTCTCAAGTTACGACAACATGACTCTGTAGTGGCTCTGATCATTTTAATAATATAGATAGGCCCACAATAATAAAAACATGTAGGTTTAAGCAGCTTTTCAGAGTTTTCATTGAATGTTTTCCACAACAGAATGACTGTAAAGTACCAGTAATATTTTTAGATCTATGTTTGTTTTTAATTAATTTTCCACTAAAATCAGCATCTCATTGAAAAAATATCCATACTTTTTAGCTATTTTTTTCTTAATTCGGAAACAAACGTTTTTTTTACATGACAACACATCTCTTCTCATTTTAGATGAGAGAATAAACATCAGATTCTAATCTCTAAAAAATTCTGATATAATCTGATAATAGAGGTTCTTAGAGTTACTTTTTAGCCTCAAATTTCTGAGAATAAGTGATCAAAGCTTCCATTTATTCTCATTATTTCTTCACCGTGCTTTAAGGGGCTCAGCATGTACGCAGGTATCTGAAACCGCAGCATGTTGTCTGTGTAAGAGCCACTATTGTGTTTATCATGGATCTGTCTAATTACTGGAAAACCTGCTTTTGACCTCTTCATATCAGACGCTGCACCGAGACATGAAAACATGACTCAGAAACAACAAAGATGCCTAAATCTAATCTGCTGCAAAAGGAAACATGCCAGACTGACAGCTGATTGTGTAAGATATTCAAAGTCAGTAAAGTTTATTCAAATGTGACAGTGTGAGCATCCTGTCACAGTGTCCCGATTGATCATGCGCCCTATACTCGGCCAAGGGGATGTCCCTTTGGCTGACTGGGAAGCACACGTGACTCTCACCTGGAAATCCGGGGATCGATTCCCGCCCGGGCCCTCGCCTCTACACCTTGCCACATAAATAGCACTCATCACAGAAAGGAAAATCACAACGTGCTTCACAAAGATCAGCAAAACAAATCATAAAGTGTTCAGAAAAAGAAAGCAAAAAAAAATCATAAAATAAAAATGAAAGACAATTAAAATTATGAACAAAAAGGATAAAATGCTTTTAAATAAAACAAGTTATTTAAAGAGTAACTAAACCCCAAAATAACCTTTTCTTGCTAATTAACTGTATAATTGGGTCAAAAGCGAATCTTTCTGTTTCTGCGCATTTTTTTGACATGTTTGTGTAAACTTGAATCTAGGTCTAAAACCGTCTTAGTGCTGCCCCCCTGTGGCAGAACAGCAGCTACTGCATTTTAAACTTGTGATTGACTGGGGCTGGAACCATTTCACGTCATCGGTACAGTCTCCTCCCACTCCCCCTCCCTCCCAGGATGGAAATTCCTCACACTCGGCCATGCCACTCTGTGCCTCCTGGCATCGCCCACTTTGATGTCATTTTTCAAATCTTGACTAGGGGTGGAGTTACATTTTCTGATGGTGTGCAGTCCCTCTTTAAGAAGAGAGAGGTTTTGATTTTATATCGGAGAAACATCCACACTGAAGCTGCTCAAAACAGAGAAATGTCTGCTTCATCCAACTAGAAACCAGTTCCTGTTGAAATCATGTCCCAGCTTCAACCATCCGGCTGATGATGTCAGGTGACTTTGAAGAATTTGATGGGAGGCAATACACACCGCACTATGATGCTACCACCTCCATGCTTCATAATGTTCTTCGTCGCTGTGGCCATATCACTCAATCTTTGTCTCATTTAGCCACAAACATGGTCTCTAGAAGACATTTGACCTGCTTGACGGTGTCTCAGGAGGTTTCTTCTTGGTCCTGGTTATAAGACTGATTATGTTGTGGAAAGAGACACAGATGTTCCAGCAGTTTCCAGTTCATGGTAGGATCAAGCGTTTGTGAACATTTACATCAGTTTATTTTCATGTGAAAGTACCAAATCATTATTATTTGTAATTTACGTCACAAATCCAAACCTCTTCGAGACATTGAAGTGATGTATGCATTTTCCCTGGTGATAGGGGGCAATGCCGTAATTATTATAAGCATGTGTTATTTTGTGTTTGACCTTACAAATGGATGCCAATTAGGGTCAAAAATCCCTGAGTGCGGAACCTCCAGCAAAAGTACAAGCACATCAGACTCCCTTTCATCCCTGGCAACGAGTGAAGAGGTAAATGTGTAACACTACAACATTTATGAATGGTGAAAGTTTTGTAACTAGGGATGAGCCGGATACTCGTTTCAGACAAGTATCTGGTACGGATAAAGGATTTTTGACGAATACGAGCATGAAACGAATTAACCTCGTAAATATCTGTAATCGTGCTGAAGGAAAATCCTCATTGGGTAACTGACTGTCTTCACGCTCTGTGATTGGCCAGCCACATAGAGCGCCCGCCCCTCCCTACACACAAAACTCTCTAGCCGACCGGCCCCGGGAGCGCAGTCCGTCCGGCTCATCCACGTACACACAAAGACAGTAACGGATCTCGCTGTGATGGCTTCACTGTTTCTCACGTTTCTTCAGTTTTCCCTAGGTTTTCTTCAGCTCGCCTCTTTTTCGGTTGAATATTTGAAGTTACTTTTTTCGTAACTTGCATGGTGCATTTGACAAGACCGCTGACGTGCTGCGTCAGTCACTCACTACCTCCGCTCCGGTCATTTTTTATTTTTTATTTTTTTTAACTCCATCTCTCTCCCTCTGACCCTCTCTGTCTCTCTCAGACACACACACCTTAATCCACATTGTTTTGTTTAACTTTGTTTGGGGCAAAATGCCAAGAACGTTAAGAAAAAAAATCAGTTTAATCAAATTAAAATTAAAAAATATATATAAAGTTGTGTCTGGTTCTAGCATTTCATATTTCCTAGTCCCTACTGCATGCGTTCAGATGTATTAATTCATGCACTTAAATATTAATGTTTGGATTTTAATGAAACACTTGTTCTGTAATAGTTTCTTTACTATTGTGATCAAAAATATTTCATCTAAATTCTGAGGCTGCTCTGTAAATAGTTTTCAAATAAACAATACACATATCAACTTCTAATCATTCCATATCAATTTCAGACTTAAAATAATACATTGATGTAAACCACACCCACTTCCGGTTAAACCAAGCTCACTTCCGGGTTATGCCACGCCCATTCCGAGTACAGATACAAAAACAGATAATTAAGTTGGTTGAACAGATACAGATACAGATACAGGTGTACTCGCTCATCCCTATTTTTAACCGCTTTTTACAAATTAGTAAATGCAGTTTGTCCTCACGGGCTCACGTAGAAGGAAACATTACGTCTAAAATGGCGTCGCCCAGAGACTTAGACCCGCTCATGTATTTTAAACGCAATTTTTATGGTTAAATGTTAAGAAACAGCCCAAAAAATGTCAGCAATTGGTTTTCAAAAATATTTTGATGGATATTTCAGAGATTAGGATACAAACTACACAATGTCTCATCAGGATTAGTACCTTCATCTGGAACCTGCTCTTTCCAGTCAAACGAGTCTACTGGCCTCTAGTGGGGAATCTAGGAAAGGGCACATTTTATATTTATATATAAACATAATGAAATAAACAGATTATTATATAGTTCTCATCTTAACATTAGACACTAATATCAGGTTAAAAACTATTATTGTTCCATTTTTCACTGTAAATCAGTTTTATTCGTTATTAAATTAAAACTCTTATTTGTTTGTTTTTTGTTTTCTTTATCTAAGCTGAGGGTGAAACTGATGCGGTTCTGTTTAAACTATCTGCTGAAACAGCCTCACCATTAGCGTTGTATGAATGAATTTCTCAGCGGTTGTTTTACACCACAGCTGCTATTGGTTCAGGCGTCGTGATGTCAGCAAATGGGAGGGGCGTGTTGGTTTGATTGGCACTGTGTTCTCGGTAGTCCGCTGCGGGACCAGAACAGACAGCTGAAGGGGGGGTGGGTCTGAACCGGGACGGTCCGTGGACAACGGCGAGCTCACGCGCACGACTTTCAGGTAAAACAGCGTCTCGTGGGGTTTTCTTTTGACTGTTGATGATGTGGGGAAGAGTATGGGTTGTGATTCAGCTGTTAGACAAAGACTGCTGGAGTTGTGACAGAAGGAGTCCTCCTCTCCTCTGTTGGAACACGTTCTGGTTCTGGTTCCGGTTCTGGACCAGGACGCCTCCTCTGGCTTCTCGTGATAGGAGGGGAGGCTGCGGTAGGCTCGGGAGTAGTAGGTCGGACTCACGCGACAGTGGGCAACAAAAAATGGCCGCACGTGAGAGGAGAACACACGGTGTGTGTGTGTGTGTGTGCGCGCGCGCGCGCGTGTGCGCGCGTGTACAGTCGTTTGGCACGGATCTGGCGCACGGCTCAAGCGCACGGATTTGGCTTTGCGTCAGTTACCATGTTTTTTTTAAAATCACGAGCTGATTGGAGGAATAATAATAATAATAATAATAATAATAATAATAATAATGCATATCTCTGTACTGTTTATCATGGTTTAATTATTTATTTTTTCCCCAGTGTTGTAAACTGTCCTTGTCATGAAAGGTGCTTTTAAATAAAATGAATTATTATTATTATTATTATTATTATTATTATTATACACATGCTGACGGGATAAGAATGGACGGAACGCTCACCGTTCATCCTCCAGCTCAGTTTGCGACAAAGACAAGCTTTTCCATCCCAAATCCTTGGACTCAGCCCTTCTGAGACAACATTTAATAAATGAGAAGAAGAAGAGGACTGGTTCGTTTTGCACTGACGAGCACAGCCAGTCATTGATTTCTATTTCTACTTTTAATCTGCTTCCAAAGAAATGATCATAATAATTTCACTTGATGGCCATTCAATAGAAACATTTCCCTAATGACCAGACACAAGCTTCTAGGAATCATGTGACATTCTTATATGACTAAAGAATCACGGGGACCTCTTTTGAAGAACATCTTCTTGCATCTAAACTTGCATTTATGTACCCGTCTCTCCCTTCTAATCAGATTATGTCCATTAGGCCGAACAAAAGGAGGATAGGAAGAAGACGGAGCCAGTCTGGTGTATTACAGTAATTATTCAGCCATCCATGAGAGTTCTGAGTCAGGAAACCTGGGTGACCTTCATTGTTGCCAAAGCAAGAAGAGCAAAGCTCCCCGGCCCTCATATACATTTTCCTTCCTGTCAGCAGGGCGGAGAACAGAATTTCAAGTCAGACACATCAAGCCCTCAATGTTAGATGGGCTGTCCACGAGCCTTCTCGCAGACCAAATCCAACACACTCGAGCTTCTCCTTTTCTATTATTAATACACAGATAGAGGGAAGAGGAGAAATTAACTGGAGAAACTGGAATCACTCAGACATCCCTGCCATGTTTCAGAGAGCTGGCATCAACCACCATATCCCTCTATGATTAACACAAACGTTCCCTGTAAAAGAAAGACACAAAAACCACTCAACAAGATGTTTCTGATTCTGAAAGGTTTCAGTAGCAGGGATGAGGACGTATGGATAATTCGTTTAATCAATACGTTTGCAGTGTGGTCTGTGGTGGAATAAATGCCTTGTAATTCGTACTCTTGGGGGGCACCATTTTCAGGAACTAGGGCTGAGAAGACACACACACACACACACCAAGCAAAATGTCTATGGTTACATTGCGATTTCTTAGTAAATATTCTATTTGGCGAGAGATAAACTTTATTGTATTTATCCTAGTGAATCTATAATTAAACGGGTAAACTAGTAGTAGCACATTCAACGTCAAGGAAAGCAAATCAGAGTTGAGCTTCAGACGGCATGATATGGGGTCTTATTTCCTCATCATCTCACCTTGGATTGGCTAACAGCAACATGACTCTACCACTGACTCTGTTTGCTCTGCAACGTTAATGTTTTATTTCCACAAATTTCCTGGATGCTAAACCAACAACAGCCTTCCCCATCGTGAGTCGAGATGGGTGCGTGCATGAATGTTAATTCAATTCAATTCAATTTTATTTATATAGCGCCAAGTAACGACAAGAGTCGTCTCAATGCACTTCACATAATAAACATTCAAATCCAGGTCAGTTCATTAAGCCATTCAGAAAAAATGTGTCCTATATAAGGAACCCAGCAAATTGCATCAAGTCACTGACTAGAGTCAGTGACTTTACAGCAATCCTCATACTAAGCAAGTATTTAGCAACAGTGGAGAGGAAAACTCCCTTTTAACAGGAAGAAACCTCCAGAGGATCCTGGCTCAGTATAAGCAGCCATCCTCCACGACTCACTGGGGATCGAGAAGACAGAGCGCGCGCACACACACACACACACACACACACACACACACACACACACACACACACACACACACACACACACACACACACACACACACACACACACACACACACACACACACACACACACACACACACACACACCAAGCAAAATGTCTATGGTTACATTGCGATTTCTTAGTAAATATTCTATTTGGTGAGAGATAAACTTTATTGTATTTATCCTAGTGAATCTATAATTAAACGGGTAAACTAGTAGTAGCACATCCAACGTCAAGGAAAGCAAAAAGTTATCAGGAGAGGGATAATGTTTAAGTGATTAGCAGCAGTGTGCTAGACGATGGCCCCCTCCATGAGGCCACCACAGCTCAGCAGAACATCATTGTAGCTTCTTCTGGGGAGAGAAACACTTAGAGAAAAAAATAAAGTTAACAGCTGAAATCGCAGAGAATAAGACAGTTAAAGAGCAGATTGTAGAAGAAAGTAGTAGAGTGTGGAAAGTGGTCAGTGTATCCTCCAGCAGTCTAAGCCTATAGCAGCATAACTAGATAACTCTGGATAATCTATCCTATTTAGATGGAGGCATGTTGGAGTCAGGGCAAGGGAGAGCCGTCTTTACCGACTGTACACTCCACCTCCCTCTACTCCCCCACTTGTCCAGATCTAGGCTAACATCAGATTTTAACCATAAGCCCTATCAAATAAAAATGTTTTAAGCCTAGTCTTAAAAGTAGACAAGGTGTCTGCCTCACGAAATAAAGCTGGGAGCTGGTTCCACAGGAGAGGAGCCTGATAACTAAAAGATCTGCCTCCCATCCTAATTTTAGATATTCTGGGAACCACCAGTAAACCTGCAGTCTGAGAGCAAAGTGCTCAGTTAGGAACATATGGAACAATCAGATCACTGATGTATGATGGACCTTGATTATTAAGAGCTTTATATGTGAGAAAGAGGATCTTAAAATCTATTCTGAATTTAACAGGTAGCCAATGTAGGGAAGCTAAGACAGGAGAGTTATGATCTCTCTTTTTAATTCTCATCAGAACTCTAGCTGCAGCATTTTGGACAAGTTGAAGACTTTTAACTACATTCTGTGGACTTCCTGAGAGTAATGAATTACAGTAATCTAGTCTTGATGTAATAAATGCATGAACTAGTTTTTCAGCATCACTCCTGGAAAGGATGCTTCTAATCTTAGCAATATTCCGAAGGTGGAAAAAAGAAATCCTACAAACTTGTGAAACCTGGGATTTGAATGACATGACCTGGTCAAAGATAACACCAAGGTTCCTTGCTTTGTTCTCGGAGATTAATGTAATGCCATTCAGGTCAGGTGATTGACTAAGCAAGTTCCTTTTCTAGATTTCTGGTCCAAAGATGAGAACTACCGTCTTGTCTTGATTTAAAAGCAAAAAATTTAAGAGTCATCCAATTTTTTATGTCCTCAAGACAAGCCTGTAATCTACCCAACCGATTAGGTTCATCAGGGTTAATGGATAGATGTAACTGAGTATCGTCAGCATAACAGTGGAAGTATATCCCATGCTGTCTAATGATTTTACCAATTGGGAGCATATATATAGTAAAAAGAATTGGTCCAAGCACTGAACCCTGTGGTACTCCGCAAGTAACCCTGGAGTATGAAGACGATTTGTCATGTACATTTACAAAATGAAATCTGTCAGACAGGTAGGATTTAAACCAGCCTAACGCTGTTCCTTTGATCCCTACAACATGTTCAAGTCTTTCTAAAAGAACATTGTGATCTACTGTGTCAAAGGCAGCACTGAGATCTAACAAGACTAGAACAGACACAAGATTCATATCTGAGGCCATGAGAATATCATTTGTAACTCTCACTAATGCATTTTCAGTGCTGTGATACTTTCTAAAACCAGACTGAAATTCCTCAAACAGATCATTAGTGCCATGCTGTCGTTCTTTTTAAAAAGAACTACAGCATGAAATTAGAACCACGACAAAGCATGAACACACCTAAGATCATTAGTGTTTAAATGCTCACATACTTGGATGGCCACTATTTTCTCCAGGACTTTGGATAAAAATGGAAGGTTAGATATTGGTTTATAATTCATTGGGTCATCTGGATTCAGAGAAGGCATCCTGAGTGAAGGTTTGATTACAGCAACCTTAAAATCTTGTGGTACATATCCATTTACTAAGGATAGATTGATTGTATCTAGAATGGGGGCAGTGACCAAAGGAAATGCGTCTTTAAATAATTTGGTTGGGATTGGATCTTAAATACAAGTTGAAGGTTTAGATGAAGCTAATATTTTTGATAAATCTGAAAGCTCAACTGGATCAAAACAGTTCAAACACAGATGAGGTTCTACAGTTACCTCTGATGCTGCCTCACTTACCGAGGAAGAAGAAATCGCATTAGGGAGGATGCTAAAGATTTTGTTTCTAATAGAATTAATTTTACTTGTTAAAAAATCCCATAAAGTCATTGCTGCTGAGGGCTAAGGGAATAGATGGTTCAGAGCTATGATTCTGTGCAAGTTTGGCAACTGTACTGAAAATAAATTTAGGATTATTCTTATTATCCTCAATTAATGCTGAGAAATAAGCAGTTCTAGTTTGAAGCTTATTTTTATAAAGCACAAGACTATTTTTCCAGGATAAGTAGGACTCCTCTCCTGGTGCGTAGAGCACCATGTTCTCTCCATTTTTCTAGTTTTGTTTGAAAATTTGTAAATGAG